TTGAGCTTGTTTTAAAATCGTAGTTAATTTATCAGAAACTTAATTTCAAACTAGAAGATTATGTAGGGTGAGCATATAAAGAAAGTGATATAAATATTATGATCAAATCTCCCAAGTTGCAGAAGCTATGCTAGTTAAAAGAAAGTCAAAAATACCTCCGTAAGGTTTTCTCTACATGTTCAATAACTTCTAAATCATTTTCTCCATTATCTACAGATTACATCTGTGCTGACCTTTTTATTAATCTTCCCGGAAAAAATTTCACCACTATTTAATGTTCGCTTTCCATAATTTGAAATAACATTTAATTTCGTTCCTCAATTAAATCATGTGCTTTTTTATCTGATATCGATCTATGAATTGAACCCGTAAGCCATTATCAAACACAGAATTAATAATGCGTCCACCTTTGGAATTTGACATAAATAATTATTATACACCTCAGTTTGTTTCATTTGAATTTCACTTTTTTCAATTTCTATATCCAACCAAAACCTTTTAACCTCTTCATATTGTGTTTGATTCTTACAAAAAGATAATAACAAAATGATCAGTGACAACAAAAACTGGTCCTTGAGGCTACAAACGAAACGCGCTCTTGGTACCGAGAGCATGCCCCAGTCCTTCATGCAGACTTAGGATGAAGCCCACCGGATTGCATCCGTAACTAGCCCGAGCATGCCAGGCCGCTTAGGTGGTTGTTTAGACTATGAAAATAAAATAAAAATATATTTCAATTTGGTTAAGTCCAACTTCTTTCCCTATCTCCTCGCTGCTTTGCTGTCACCTCATTTTTCAATATTAAACTTAAAACTATACTGATCAGTATTCCATTATTTTTGCAGCCATAATCCACTTTTCATCTTTAGATATTTGTGCAATATAAAAATCTTGAGATGAGTGTATGTTCAGCAGAACTATTGTATGTAAAATCTTGTTTAATACTACGAAAACGAAGTATTGAAATGAGAGTAAGGTTATTTTTGTCTAAATAATCAAATTTCTTCAAATTATAATAATATTTCTGACATCTTTAACGCTTTGTAATATTAATAATAAAAATAAAAAAACGCGTAACAATTATATGCGAGGATCTTAACCCTACCCCAAATTTTGAAACATAACCCCAATTTTAATCGGTCAATTTAGGGATGGGATATAAATTCAAAATATTTTTATAAGCGCAAAGACATAAAAATCTGTAAAAATCTTGTGTAGTCATACGCGCGTCATATGTAAAAGTAAAATAGGAATAGCGAAACCCAATTTATATCACTGCGGTTATTAGGATTTGGTTAATTAACCGTTAATTAACCGCAATATAAATTTTAATATTAAACGGAACTTTATTATATTACTATATATATTACAGATAGCTATATATTTTTGCAACAAAGTTTATTACATTTGATTCAAATCCGAAAATACTATCATCAAAATTCAATAAATCATCGTTATTTCATTGTCTCCATTATTATCCTCTTTATTCTTTGCGAATTTCTTACCTTTATTACATAACTTTATTTTTTTTTGAACTCTACATACACTCCACTTGTTCAAAATTCAGAACGAAACCTATGTTAATAATTTTAAATCGTGAGGATTTTCAAAATTATGTGTGCTATATTATTTAAATTTAAAACGTGTTTGTAATCTTTGTATAAATAAGATGTTTATTATATATAATCAATTTTTTATAGACCAAAATTTTATTTTATTTATTATTTTATCAAAATATCAAATAAAATAATCATGATATTTTTATTACATGTTTGCACTACCATCAATCTTCTCTCTTACATAATAAACCAATATTCATAAGCACTTTCGTAATCCATTTCTTCTAATTCAGGGCCATTAATAAGAATCATAAGATAACGATTAAGAGATTCGAATGACACCTTATTTCGTAATTTGTTTTTAAGAAGTTTTTGCTGTCAAAAAATACGTTCAACATTAGCATTTGACAAGGGAATAATAAGTCATATTTGTATAAGTTTTGTAATATTTGGAAAATAGTTGTAAAAGTGGGGTCAGTACAAAAATATGCTTCCAACATTCCCGAAATTTGAATTCTTGAATTTTATAAGATTGTAAATAAAACTTGACAAATCACCATTCTTTTTTTAATTCAAATTTATCAATAAGTGGTAAAATATTTTCGCGTAAAACCATTCTTTCTTTACCATAAAATTCACCTAACTTTTCAATATCTTGATTTCAATATTGTGATAATTGTGCATTATTAATAGGTAATTGCTCTGGATCAAAAATTCTAAATGCGAAGAGTTTGGGAATCTGTTTTTAATATTAGTAATCATAGCTAATAAGTAATCATATATGAATGATGGAAGATCTTCAGGCTGAATGTTTTCTTTCGCTATATAATTCTGTATTTATCACTATATGTTGCTGCTGAATTATTATTGCCAATAAAATATGATGTAATTGTATTAATTGTAGGTGATTGTATATGTATGATAGTGATATCATCTGATTGAAAAATATTGATTAACTTCTTCAAATAAATTTAAGATCAGCTAAAAGTATTGTTATCATAATAAAATCATTATCTAGTTGTTCTAATAATACCTGTGCAGTTTTATCATTATTTTAAAAATCTTCATTTAATGCTACTAAAACAAAATCGATAATTCTATAAAGATTTCCTATTGCATTTAATAAAAAAAGCCAACAAAATATCACAAAGATTTAAAAGCTTTAATTCTGATTTATTATTAATCTCTTGCATTTGTTTAAGTAAATTAATGTATTTTATTGATCTTATAAAATAAAAATAGATGCTTCATAAAATTTTTTCATATTTTTTAAAATATGGTATATCATTAGAAGTATCAGATCTAGCAAAATACAAACGATAAGCAATATAGTGATCTGCTATTATAAAAGGATTGTATTTTTTTAATCTTACCAATACTTTACTTTTATATTCTATAATTATTATCGTATACTACTGCATATAGTACTTAGGGTCTTAATCAAAAATATGATTTTCAAATTAAATAGTATCTAAAAGTACTAAATGATGAATTAAGTACTATTTTAAAGAGGATACAATATATAAGAGATACTGTATATAGAGATTACAATTACATAACTTTAATAAATAAATATCAAAAAAATTAAATTTACTTTTCTTCTCTAACTGCTTTTTATTATATATATAGTCTTCTTTAATTCACACTTCACAAATATTAAGAAAAACTTAATATTTTTCCTCTCTTTATATAAAATTATAGAAAATATTCAAGTAATAAAAAAGTTAATATTGAAAATACTATATAAAATAATGTTATAGAAGAAACCTCAACTTCTCATATTAATAATACTGTATCTCTAAATGCCATCTATTCAACTTATAAAATTAAATAATTTATTAAAAAATCAGGGTTAGATTATAATAATAAGAGAATTTTTAAATATAAAAATTAATACTTCTTTTTTGGATTTTATTTATGTTTTTTTAAATAATTTGCCTTATAATAAAAAAAAATGCAAAAAATTTAAATTTAAAATTTATCAACAATTATTAGTATTTTGAAAAATATCAAGAGGAAATTTTTGTATATGACAAGTTATAAATTTACAAAAATAATATTAATAATAGAATGACAGAAAAAAATTAATAGTTGTATTTTACTATAAAAATTGATATAGTATTCAAGTTACTAAAAGTAAATATAATATTTAAAATAAGTTTATGACTAAAAAAAATAAGAAAAATGATTTAATGCATGTAGCTTTATAATTTCAATGTCTTAATACTGATGCAAAGTCAAAATATTTACAACTGAGATGAAACTTTTAAAGTAGTTTCTTAAATTAAAAAGTCAATTAAAAAACTGTAGCTAAATATATAATTAATGCAAAAGCTTATAATTTAATAAAAAATAAAAATATCTTACTTTATATCCTAAATATTCACAAATATCAATTTTTTTATAAATGAATATATGGGTTTATATCTCATTATTTATTAGTAAATTACTAATATACAGTTAACTTTTGATATAATGAACTTTTAATATAACAAAATTTTAAACAAATATAATAAAAATACTTTTATTATAACAAATTGTCCAATTAAATCTCTTAAAATTTTCACTATAGCCTTATAGTGAAGTTGAGGTCTAGGACATAGAATTTATTATAATAAGAGTTAACTATACTTTAATTACATAAAAGTTATCTAAAGAATATAATAAAAAATAACAAAGTTTTCTCTCATATATTCTTTATCAAAGAACTAAACATAATTATTCTTTAAAATTAATTAATAATATGAATGAGATATTTATGTTATTGTTTAGAGCGTAGCGAAGAACTATATATGTTTACGAAAGGTGATCACAAATAGAATCACATGCTGATATCCTATTATTCACATGCATTACATTATGATTTTGTACTACATTTATAAATAAAAAAGATGACATTAAACAAAATAAAGTATTATAAGTGTTACATATAGTATTATGAAAAAAAATAAAAAAAATTATTTTATATTTATATTTTATTATAATGGAATTTTGAATTCTCAGTTTTCAGGTATTATAAAAACTAAGCGTTTTTCTTCGTCTAACCATTCTTGTAGTCTTTTACATTCTTTAATATGCTAAAGTCTTTCAAAATTAAATAGTTTAAAAAGTAGATCTTCAAATGTACGTACTCATGAGATTGCCATAAAAGAAAGACCCGCGGCAAACTCTTTATTCCCAAGATCAATTACGGCATTTTGTAATGTAAGACTTTGACTTTTATGAGCTATAATTACCCATGCAAGATAAACAGGAATTTGCAAACGTGAACAAGAAACTTCAGATTTATCATTCCAGGTATATTAAATTGGTGAGATAGGTACAACTCTTTCACCCTCTATGCTAGTGATTGTGAGACCTTTGTAATTATTGAAAGAGATCAAAACTGCTATAGAAAGGGAAGACGGTCCTTGATCTTCTTGGAAAATTATATCTTAAACGGTTTCCATTGAACTGTTGACTAGTATTATTAAACATTTTATTGTTAACATTAATTAAAAAATTTTTTCATTATAGTAATAAACGCTCTGAATTCATAATGATTCCCATTTTCTAGTTTAATTTATTAAGTTAAATAAGTATTGAAAAGTGTAAAAGAAAAATTATTTCAATTTTTATAATAGAATATAAATGCACTTATTTTACAGCAGTGTGTAAAATCTAAACCAAAAATCATGTGCTAAATGTGCACATTTTTATGACATCATATGTGCACAAAGTAATTTTAATGTGCACAAATTTTTTCTAATATCAAATTATAATATTTATTTATAAAAATCAAAAAAAAAAGATTACAAAAAAAAATTAACTAGTAATTATAACTATTTTTGATTAAATCTAGGAACACCATTCCAAAAAGTATATGCTTCTTCATAATTATAATTTCTAAAATCTTTAGGACTATTTAAAGAAAGAAGTAAATGATGATTTAATGTCTGAATTGACATTTTGTTACGCAAATTGGTCTTAATTAAATTTTGATGTGAAAATACACGTTCAACAACACCATTTGATAATGGAATTATTAAAGCTAATTCAATAAGTTTTGTTAAATTAGGAAATTGATTATG